TTCCATTTGCATGAAACGAATATTTAAATCACTGCTCCTGATCTAACGGTCTAAGACCCTGGTTTCAGATACTGGGGATACAGTCGTGTTACCGTACTGTTGTACTCAGAAGTACTGGGTCGTAGGAAAAGTCATGTCGCATTTTTGCAACAAAAACATACAAAAATACATCATGACTTTTCCGACGACCCAACAGCTTCTGGAGAGATGGAAGGGCATGACCGCGATCACTGCGTCTGCTCAGTGAGGAAAGCCCCGAGGTGTCTCAGGGGCAGAAGGTGGGGGAGGAGAGCTGAGCGCTGTGTCACGAAGGGCACGCCGTGTCTGTGCTGTGTGGAGACCCTGAGAAGTTAGTTCTCTAATCAGAATGGTGCTCCGAGTAGATGAAGGCCCCCAAGAAGGGGCCGTGTGTGTGGGGGGGAGGCCCGTCTGTCCTGCACGTGGGAATTCACTGCCTGGGGCTTTAATGCATGGACGGGGCTGGTCACCGAGAACAGGGTGCGTGACCACGAGCCCAGGCACGACCAGGGAGGGCGGCTCTGCTGGCTAACCCTACGCCATTTATTATTTTTTTTTGAAACACTGGAAACATGTCTTTCTTTGATAAAGCTGAAGAATTACATATATAGCACACCCCCAAAGCGGCAAATCTAGATCATGACCTTTTAATCATAGGGGCTATCCCAGCAGATGCAACAGTTAACAACTTCTGGGCACAGACACCTTCCACCCCCAAGCTCTCTGGCTCTCCCAGCCCCCGCCTGGCTCACAATGCTCATCAGGACCCCACTGGAGGGAGAGCACAGCACTCACGTGCGGGATGGCAAGGACACGGAACTTGCATCAGCCTCGCCCGGGAAAGGGAGTGCGTCACACTGAGCACTGAACCCTTCCTAAAAGATCTTTACCCAAAGCCAACAATTCAAGTGATACTTCAAAAACTATTCCCTTTCTAATTGCAAAATGCTATTCAAACTCGCTGATGATTTAGTGACACTAATTAGACTGTGTGCTCAAGAAATCTGTCTGGCAAACACCATTGCCAAATGTCACTAACAGTATGATAGCTCACCAAGAGTTTAAATCATCAAAACAAAAGCCGACTGACGTAATGAGACAGTGACAAAGCCTAGTCGGCTGGCTTTTAGGATCTCCATTTTAAATGAAAAAACAAATGATTAAGATGCAGAGAGCATGTAACCTTGAGTTTCCTCCTGTGTCACTGAGAACCAGGCTCAGAGTCATGCTTTGGGGGCGTCCATCACCTCTCAGTGCCCGGCCCTGAGCTCGCCTGTTGACACCCCATCCTGAGGAGCGCCCCGACAGCCAGGCGACTGTGCAGGGGCTGCCGTAAGGACTCTGGAAGGCGTGTCTCGTCCATGTCCACAGCGGTGACACGGACTCCTGAAGTGCCAGGTGAGGCCGCAAACAAGGAGTCGGGAGCAACGGCCCCTTGGGCGGCGGAACCAGGCCAGCGGGTCCCTGTGGTGACAGCACAGACCCCTCAAGGGTCTTTAGGGTTCTTGCTTCAGAGAGCTACCTCTGATGATCTCACACACATAAGGTTTATTTCTCAATTGCCCCTTTATTTTTTTATTCTAAAGCTATAAATCCAACCGACTCCTATGGAAGAACAAAAAATCAGTGTCTTTCTTAATCATAGTCGGCACAGAAGCCCGCGCTGCAAGCTTAGGGTACAGCCGTCCAGTCGCGCCTGCGCGAAGGCTCCCGTGATGCAGATAGTGAGGGCGGGAGCATGCGAGCGGTGATGACAAACAGGAAGAAGGCAGCAGGTCAGCAGGTAGCTGTGAGGCTGCACTCAGCCAGGCATGGTGCTGGGCCTGCAAACCCGTCTCCAGGACGGGAGGCGCAGGGCGGTGACCAATGGAGCACATAGTGCCCTGGCCTTGCAAGATGGAGGGCAGTGACAGGGCCAGGGGTCGAGAGGAGCCGCCTGAAAGGACAAGGAAGACGAAGCATAGTGACCCTTCAGGTTTCTGAGATGATGTGAAGCTGCGGGACTGAGATGGCAGAAGTTCCAGAAGCCTGGGCAGGAGGACACCGCACGCTCGGGTGGGGCTGGCAACTCGCATGTGACCGGAGAGCAGTCGCGTCTGACCTGCCTTCAGGACTCACAGACGGGAGGCTACTGCCCCAGAGACAAAGGGGACAGGCAGCCTGGGGAGGGGTCCTGCCGCGTACGGCCAGGCTGCACACACGGCCTCTGCGCGCTGCACGCAGTTCCCTACCAGCTCTCCACCAGCTGTGACTGCCGGCAGACAAACGACCATTTCCCACCTCCGGACAAACACTGCCTGCTCCCGGCCAACGCACCACGGGCCGGGCCCTCAGCAGGCAGGGGGCCTGGCTGTCACCCGTCCCCGGCACAGAGCAGCACCAGTGAAGTGGAGGCTTGTGAAGCAGCAGGTGCAGCAGTTCAGGTTCCATGAGTCCACCCTCTCGTCACAACAGCCAGGAAGAGCAGGAGGGAGAGTGAAGGAAGCGAAGGCAGGGACAACAGGAGCATGTGCTGGAAAGCAAAGGCTCGCGGCGGCTGCAGGTGCGCCAGTCTCCATGGACCAGTCACATCTGTGTCACCCAGGATGACTAGGTTCCTCCGAATTCTAAAGGCAAACAATAGGCCTAGGCTTCCAGCAGCTCAGCAAAGCGTACTCTCCTTGGTTTGTCCAATGCGGACCTGAGAAGGCCAGCCGAATCAGGGTAAAAAGTGGCCCAAAGCAACGACTGAGACCGCCAAAACTGCAGGGCCTCAGGCAGTGCCCGGGCACCCTGATGTCACAAGGCCTGAGGCCAAAGCCCTCAGGTGCACCTTTGAGGTGCACGCCCACGCCCACACATGCGTCGGGGCCACAAGAGAGGCATGGGAGCTGCCACTGGGCTCCTTTTAGGGGCACACCGGGCACTGGGAGGCAGCTCACTGGGCCAGGTGACACTGCTGGGAGGCCTCGCCCGGCGACTGCCCTGAAAAGTCTCAATGAAACCACCAGCCAGGTGTATTTTCCTCCCCTCATCTGTTCAGCAAGATTATTGAATGAAAACGCTGAGCAATGCTTTACACAGACCAGGAGGTAAACTGGGGCCCTGCGGTCGAGGGGATTACTGGCCAGGGGCAGAAACAGGTGGGTCACCAGGCACTGTGCCTGGTACCTGTAGGCGTGTGCCATCCGGGCACAGGCAGATGCCTGAGGGCGCCAAGCTGTGCTGAACGACGCCCACCCACATGAGAGAGGGTTGCGTCCGTCTCCATCGCAGGGGCCTGTGGGACGTGCCAGGGAGCCCAGGGTGGGTGCTGTCCGACACGGCAGCCACGGCCACGCGCTCTCTATGCGTCCAGTCCACAATGCTTTACAGGCTTAGCATGAACATCAGCTTCCATATTGATACACGTCAGAACAGTATTTCAGAAATGTGATGAAAAATGAAATTTTAAAATAATTTTTTCTTTTGGTAGCCAGGCTCCCAATGGCCCCTAGTGATCCTGGCCTCCTGGTAACTCACCCCTTGTCTAACCCCCTCCCAGGAAGGACTAGGGGAGGTCTGTGTGACCAGGAATAAGGCAGCGGAGGGGATACATCACTTCAAAGGTTAGGTCACAGAAGACGTGGAGGCCCCCTTCCTCGTCACCGGGATCGTCACTCTGGGATAGCTGTGCAGTGGAGGCCTGCGTGGTGAGCACCGGAGGCCTCACGGCCATGGCATGGCGCCTGGACGTGGCTCCTGCAGCCCCAGCCCAGCCTTCGGGTGAGACAGTAGCCCTGAGTGATAGCTTGGCCGTAGTCTCATGGGGGAGCCTGAGTCCCAAATAGCAGCCAAGCTGCTCCCAGATTCCTGACCCTCAGAAACTAGGAGATGATACACATTTGCTGTTTAAGCTGCTGAGCTTGGGGGTAATTTGTCACACAGCAATAAACAACTTAATACAACCTGGTATGTTTGGTTTTTTGCTTTGTTTTAAGGTGCTTACTAGAAAATGCAAAATTACCTGTGTGACTGTAACATGTCTGCATGTTTCCTTCTGGTCCTAAGTATAGTAAGAGCTTGTCATGCTCAACACCACGGCTGGTCTGTCAAATGCAGAATATGGCTTTGCTGTCTGTATTAACACGTTTCTTTCCGAAGTACAGTGAAACCTTGGATTGTGAGTAACGTGGTTTCCAAGTGTTCCGCAAGACAAGCAAACATTTCTAACACATTTTAACATGGTAAACGCACAATCTCTTGCAATATGAGTAGTTTGTTTCCGGAACGAATTATGCTTGCAAACCAAGGTATTACTGTATTTAATTTTAAATCTGGGGATCAGACTAAATACTTGTAGAGAGTAAGCAACAAAAAAAGATTGTTAGGTCTTATTCCATATAAATGAAAACAAAACGTTAATAATCTCCTTCCAGTTCCAAAAGGTCAGTGGGGAACAACTGAGAAGAGACAGACAAGTCCAGAGTAGAAAATAAAAAGTCAGCGTTAATGTTTCCAAGCTTCTTCGCTGCTCATTCCCCGCTTTGCAGACATGCGTTTGTAGATGAAACAAGGCGGTAAGCGCCCCTTTTTAAGCGCACTTCCACGCGGGGCTTCCGCGCCCCTCCCGCCACGTGCCACGCCTGACCTAACTAACCAGCGCCCAGCTACTGGACACCCAGGCGTCC